ATATACTTCAAATATCGGGCTAACAGTCAAAGTGTGAATTAAGGCTGTTGGCTGTTACTAAAGCAAACTTGACAATATTTGGTCTGTTGGAAGGCAAAAAAGAAAAAAAAAAACAATAGCAACTGCAAATATACAGGCAAAGAAAAAAGACTCAATTAGTATCAACATAAATGTATTATTAAAATCTTCCCTGTTCTCTATATATGCATAACAACGGCAAAACCGATAACGAAGGCAGGGATGACAATAACAACACCAGCACTACCACTGCCGACGACGACGACAACAACAATAACAACAACACAACCAGCAGCAGAAACAACAACAACAAAATCAGCAGCAAAAACAGCAATAAAACAACATTGTGTTTATTCGAAAATGAGAAAAATAAATGAATTAAAAAATAACAACAACTACAGCAACAACAGAAAAAAATACCGAAATTTTAGATCGCATCAAAGATGAAAATGACCTCCATAACTCCACGAACTTCTCCTAAAACTATAATTTTTCTATGAAAATATGTTTAAAAAGTGTAAAAGTAAATACAGCAAACGTTTTTTCTTTTTTCTTCTTCTTGAAACTTCATTTACAGATAAATTTCTCTTTAAAACAATGACATAGATGCAGCCAAACCAACTCATCCTTCATCTTGCCAAAAATCGACAAGGACGTGCAGTATTTCAAACGACAACATGTACAGATATCCGACTTATAAAAGCAATTATTGCGCTGCTATTAACATCAGTTTATGCTTTACTTTTAACTCTTAAAACGAAATTGTTGCATTTGGCAAGTTTCCATCATTGTACCACATTAATATTCGGTGTCTCCAATTTTTTAGTATTTCGGACTTTCTTCAATCAGTTTGCTTTGGTGTAATTTCTGATTTTACATTCATTCAGCTGAGCCTAGTACACAGCTGTATACCTTGACATAGCACATTCTACATTTTAGATGTTTTTCGGAAAGCACTTTTTGGCATATACATGCTTTTTGCCTCTTGTTTTGTCATAATTTCTGGATGTGTAAAGTTCTTTGTTGCGGAAGCCGATGGCAGTAACTTGTCGCGAAACATTTTGAAAAACACCTGTAATCTGCATGGATTGAATTGATAAGGTTCTAATAAAGTTCAATAAAAATTGCATGAAAGTTTATGCGGCATAGAAATAAATTGTCATTTTTTTCAGTTGTTTCTCTATAGTGTCCACTATTACATCATGTTTCCAGGTTGCTGTGTTTAGTCCAGTCTTTTTAACCACTCTAAAGAAAGTAACAGCAAAAAGGCTTGTGAAATAAGTGGTATAAGTATATCCTTTTCAAATCGGTTTCACACCTGCGAGACGCAGAGTTAAGTATTGTTTTTGGCACTTTAAGCTTTCTGGTTTTTTTTTTTTGTTGACTTTGACGATAAATCAGAGGAATTAGCAGCTTGTTTATCAGAAGAAAAATGAAAGAAAACGATTTGCATCAGCCTATAACTTTATTTTTTGGGGTTCAAGGGCTAACGGAAACATATAAGCAAAACAAGAGTCCTGTGCCAAGTCTGGTATTACTAATTGGAAATTTTAAATAGCAATCAGTTAAAAACTTTCCAGCACCCTAGTTTGAGTCGTTTCATTGTGATCACTTTTTGTGGTCCTTCCAATATAACCGTTAATTGAAATAATCCTTTAAGCCGTTAATAGTCAAATAAGTTCACAAACAGTGAATAATTTGCCATGTGAAACTTGTTTTTGCATATTTTGAAACACGTGTTAACACTGATGATTTTGTGAATCAGAAAGCTCGGGAACCGTAATTGTCGTTCATACCGATTTTGCGAGTCATGACCAATTTTTCCGTTACTGGAGAAGCAACAAAATTGAAGTATTACCGATAGTTGATGATTCTGCACAAAAAGAACGATATTCTAACAACTTTCTTTAAAACTTTGAAACAGTAGCTAAGCATTTGGGGCAGTGCAAGATCCAAAAGCCCCTCTCCTCAATTCTCTACAGAAAACGATCATTCTCCGAGGTCTGGGAGCAACAGGTACCATGGATTGCTGTGCTATTAGGATGTGGACGACGAAAATTTTTTCTGGAAACCTGGTTAAGCTAAAATTTACTTTGTGCGGAGCCGTACAGAGTATTTAAAATTATGCTGGTTACTCAAGTGGCATTACTGCAGCAGAACAACGCAGACGGCTTAAACATCTTATAAAAGGAACACTACGTTGTTGAATCTTTTTGGAGCACAATGAACTTACAAGTTAGTGAACCGGTAATACGTCTTGCTTACTAATAAAATCAATCTGGAAAACAGCTTGTGAGTCTTATTTTAAAAACGCTATTTTTCGATAAAACACGGAAGTCCTTAGAAAACAAATAATATATGGGTATTTCGACTGAATAAATTTGCAGCTTTTCGACTGCTGCGCTTTCCAACCTTTAATTTGCATCAACCGACACATATTTTGAGCCGATAAGCAAAAATGAACTTTTTATTGCCTTAAAGACCATGGGAAGACATCACACGCGAGACCAACACATTATGTATTCTTACTAGTTACTAAATCGCCGTTAACAAATAGGTAACTTAACTGAAACACCTTGATTTTTTAAGCTCAAGAGTTAGTGGTGATTTATTAAACAAATTATTCCGGCTTATTTCATCTCTTGCTAGAAGCCAGTAGAAGTTAGTGATCATTAAAACAAGTAATCATGAGAAAAATGTTACAATCAAGTCTCGTACAATGACTATGTACAGCATGCCACTGCATTCAACAACATTCTCACAGGCGATAACAAGTAAACCAGAAAGATACTAGAGTTTATCAAGAATACATAACAGTTCGCATAATGACAGAGCAAGGCAATATCGAGGGGGATAATTCAACGAAAAGTTTTGCACCGAAGTGATGTGTTGTTCACATCATCTTAAACAGAAAGGCTGAAAGCCACTAAAAAATTACGACCAAATTTCAACAACCCATTAAAACTGAACAAACCGACACTGATCTCAAATGAAGGTCCATTTTGCGGCTCAGTGTCTTCTGGAACTATGTGCCGTACTGTCGAGACTCCGCTGAATTTCAAGTGCAAAGTCTTTGACGGGATTAAAAACTTACTTCCGCAAAGTAAATTGTGCTGACGATATACAACAAAATCTTTTTGCATGAAAACTATCCAAACTGAATTTGATGCGAAAATTCTAGGTCCGAAAGCACTACCTTTGCATTCCACCATAACTTTTATTTTTTTTTTTTTTTTTTTTTTTTTTTTTTT